CAAAAGTGTAGTAGAATTTTAGTTCTTAGTTCCTTACAGGAGTTCTAATAGCATGGAACTCTTGTCTGTGAGATGGATGTGGTAAACTTATTATATACAGTAGATGGATGGCCTCTAAGAGGGCAACTGTTTGCCCAAAGAATGAACTACCAGGAGAGGGTTAATTAATGTTTGAAGCTAGTCACTCGTCAGTTTAGTACTCCATGTCTTCCTCCAGACATGAACGGTCAGATTTTAGACACCATATATTAACAGCAATTCACTCATTGTGCCAACTTCATAGCTACTTCTGAAGACCTCATGATGTGCTTGCCTCTTTCCGAGACCTGCCTGCTACTTACTGCGGATAGTAACTGCAGCGCTCCACGGAGCCATCAGGATTGGTCCCTCATCAGATTGTTCAACGCTGACCTTCACCGTGGTATTCATATAAAGAAATGTAGTCTGTACACGCCAGGCTTCGTGCCCCACCCTGTTCACCACCCGTAGTGTCCAGGTCCCTCAGAGATTCCAGAAGCCTCTGAAGGGCTTCAGTGAGATGCTCTAACAGGTCAGGAAGTCACTGATAAATCATAGCTTCTAGAGAAATGGTTTTTTGGGGTGCTGCTTCAGTCAGACCACTTGCTGTTAGTCACTAAGGATAACTGCCTGATCATGGCTTAGCTCTGACTTTGCAGGCTTCATGCCTGGTGGATGCCATGTTCAGTTTTACTGTGTATATTAGGAAGGTCACCAGGGGAGGGCGTGTGAAAGCTGTCACTGTGGTTTGAGGGGCTGAGGCATCTCCCTTGACTGTCTGCATCTCACAGTGCATTTCAGGATGGGTCACAGCCAAGGCTTGTGAAGAGAGCTTTTCAGGAAGCTGGAAGGAGAAGAGGGGTGGTTTCCAGGAGCACAGGCACACACCCACCTCCCTCAAGTTTAGGGTTGAAACTGCTAGGTCCTCACTGACAACGTCCCAACATTGTCTGGTTGGCTGGCTGGCTTCAAGATGAGACTAGCTCAGAGAGGCTTTGAGCAAGTGAAGAGAAATTCCTCTTTCCCTGAGAAATTCAATCCTCAATTACTTATGGTGGTTGCCTGGGGTGGGGGTGGGGAATGCTGTAAATCATGGCTTTTATTGCTGTTCTTTGGCTTTTGGTTTTGAATTCTTGGGAGGCTGTTTCAAGCAATAATGTGAGGTATGCAGTAATCCTGTCAGGTGCTACCTCAGGCTTGGAGTTAGAGGGTCTTCTGCAGGTTGCCTAATTACATACACAATTAACATCAGGGCTGAAAAGCTTAACCTTATCAGGAATGAAACTAGGTTTTACAGAGTTCCTTTAACCAAATAAGGTTGCTACTTTCTATCTCCTTCCTGCATCTGCCAGGACCATTAACTGCTAAGTCACTTTGACCATTTTCATTGATCTCCCCAGATGAGAATCACTTTCTTTAAATCACAAAGACTTAAACACATGAGTAGATGTAGAAATCTACTCATCATTTCTTTCCAATTTAATACTTCACTCTTTGTCATATTTTCATTTTCTTCCATTAGTTCCCATGGCAACAAGTCTGTTGGCAGCGAAAGCGTAACTCTGCTTTTAGCTTTGAGCACAGTATTAAACTCCTTTTTAGGCAAGTGCCACGTAAACAAGCAGAGGCTGGCATTCTCTTGCTAATGACATTTTCCTCTTACATTGATTTCCCAGCCTATCCCTAAGCAAAGCTCTCACAGGTACTACTCAGAACCCTGACAGAGAAATATGCAGAGGCCTTTCAGGCAACCACAGCTTCAAGAAATTAACCTTTAGGTTCCCTCTTACATGTGGCAGTAATATGAAAGCATCCATTAGGGCTGAACAGAAAAGCAAATTTCGGTCAATTCGTATCAAAAATAAGCACAGTATATCTGAGGACATACACATGTCCTGAACTGAGCCTCAAATCAGGGGCAAATGGCAAGACAAGAGGTACTTAAGCAGACCTCCTCCCAGTAAGCAAGTGGCAAAGAGGCCAGGCTCTAAGCTCTTGAAACGAAGCAGACTCAGGTATGAAAAACATGATATGGTCCTGTTGGCTGCCTACAGTTGCAACAATTTGTGACCAACTTTGAAAAAGCAAGTGATTCCATCAGACTTAATGATGTACACTTGTAATTGGCAATGGAGTGCTAAGACAGGAATATTACAAGTTTGAGGCCAGTCTGGGCTACATGGTAAGATCTTGCAAGGGCTGGGATGCAATGTCCTAGGTTAAATTCCCAGCATCTAAAAAGCCTACCAAAAGCTGAAGGGATGGGATGTAGAAATAAAGAGGAGAGGAGTCTGCGGAAAATCCAACCCCAAGATTAAGCGTTCGTTTTAAATTTTAGGTTCCACCATGGCTTGGCAGCTCCAGTTACTGCTTCAGTGTCCAGGAAGCAACAAGTCTATATCAGAAACTAAACAGGATTTATCCAGATATGTGTAGATTAAAAAACAAAAACAAAAACCAATACGGATGAATTCAGGGGTATGGATATATATTAAGTAAAATGTGGTTATGTCAAGTATAGTTAGGAGAATGATCAAATGCAAATGATCTCTTTTTTGCTTGGTCTCATGAAGCACTTGAGCACCAAAGCTGCTTATATTGTATAAATGTATTTTTGGGTGTTCAAAGGTTATTTTCCTATATTAAGAAGTTTATTAAAACCTTTTATTGCAACTCAGGTTTTGTGTCTCTTAGACACATATTTTTCTTTGCTAGTTTGTTTTGCACAGCTGGAGTGTGAGGTTGGATAATGCCTGACAGGTTACCTGAACTGCCAGGTAGCTAGACTAAGGAAAGTATTTGACACATGGACAAACCACGTTGTTTTTCATAGCTCTCCATCCTTCTATTAAATATGGTTAGTCGGGAAATCTTAGATGAATTTGTTTTTTTAAAGTCTCTGGAAAAACCAAGACGAATCTCTCAGGCAGATAAAGAATTTCCCGTATTTGCCCAAGTGTACTATTTAAAATAAATATTATTTTCAATACTTGTTTTTCTACCCAGAGGGTATTCACTGGTCTCAGACCAGAAAGAGGACACCTTGCTTAGATCAGGACAGCTGAGTACTGCTTAACTCTTAGGAAACTTTGTTTTGCTTTGATGTCAACAGACTGCAAGGAATGTTTTCATATTTCTTCTCCAATAATTAGACATTTCCTTTGCTTCCCTCCTCAAAAGAGCAAGCCTTACTGTGATGTATGTTTGGAGGAAAGAGAAAGGTAACTGGTAGGTAAACCACTCACCTTTTGTTGGAAGAGTCGATCAAGTTCTTTCTGTATTCAGTGACTAGAAAGGCCTGAAGGCAGATACGATAGTGACACTGTTCACACAGGAAGGAAAGCACAGTCCATGCTGGCACCAAGCCAGCAGATCTACTGAACTTCCAAAGGGTAAGCTCATTTTGAGGTCACTACATGTTATGGCAAGAATGGGAATTTTCTTTCCTACTTACAGCCACCCAAGGGCACCCACACTCAGCTGTGTATGAGAACTCAACTGTGGTCTCATTTTTTTCAGGAACCATTAAGCATCAGAAAAGTGACTATGTTGCAAGACAAGGGTGGGCTCCAAGAGGTGTGTAGAGAGTTATACAGACACACTGAAGGCTGCCTTGAAATTTATTTTTCCATCTTCCAAACTATCAGATCAATGACTTTTGCCCTCAGCAATTTGTGGGAGACAAATCTATTTCATTATTCTGTAAGTTCCAATGTTTAATGTTTCAAACTCATACAAATTTCTGAAGTCATATCAGCCAGTCAGTGAAGTTATTTCATATTTCACTCTCATACATGTCACAGAGAAACTCGTAAGCGACACAGCTTTGGGTCTCTTGGCTAGCACTTTCGGGTGGGACCTGGCTTCTCTACCCGGGGAACACATCCGCAGTAACAGGGCTCCGCTGTCAGAGTGTGACCTGAGACCTTACCCCAAAACCCCCTTTCCAGCTGGTGACACTCGAGTGGCAGGTGAAGTGCTCTTTCTGTCCATCCTTTGCCGTTCATGTGGACATCCTGATGTGTGTCAGTGCACTGACATTCTACACGCTGTATATATTGCATGCATTTCACTGCAGTCTATGGACACTCCCTTTGTAGAGCTTTTACAAAGAACCAAGAAGCCAAGGCAGTTTAGCAAATGAGGCTCAATATCTATAAACTGGGGCCTTTTCTGTCTCTTTGCTAGCCTAGGTGTCTGTACACAAACTGGGTGGGAGGGTAGCGAGTACCTCACACATCACATTTTGGTTTTCTACTTGGGTGTACTCTAGCCAATTCAAAACAAATTGCTTACTTTAATAATGAAGTTTCCATTTTATATCAAAAAAAATCAAACCATGACATGTTTAATTGAAATGGCTGTATTGTAATTAATATTTTGAGATAATTGTGATTTTGAACTTAAAATTATATATAAAAATTGTCATTTTTGTATGTGTTAAAAATAATGTACTATGATTAGCAGTACTTTTTAGTTGAACCACATAATGATGTATATAAAACTGAATGAAGAAACACTTACTACTTTACTAACATAGATTGTGAATGTACTTCATGGTTTTTGGCCATATGAGACCATAACAACCTTGAAAGCTGTTTAATTTTATGTGCAAAGTCCCACTAATCTGTATTTTGACTTTGCCAAGCCAGCGACTTTGCAAGTGTGATCTGTACTCTCCAGCTGTGTCTAACGTTCTGACACTATGGGTTAAGGTAGTGTGTGGTTTGGAAGCATCTGCAGATGCGCTTTGTACAGATAATTGCGCTGTGCGGTGTACAGCAGAGCCATTTTTAAGGTTCTGTTGTGCTCAAATTTTTCAGTACTTAAAAGTGTTTTGAATAACATAAAAGTCTATTGTATAAATAATAAAATGTCACCTTATTACATGATGTCTGGTTTACTATGGAAGCAGATTCTGCAGTAAGGAGCTGTGACATGGTAAAGGTGTGTTCGCTTTTATAACAAAAACACTGTACCAGTATCTTAAAAATGTAATTTTTATTATGAACACGAAGCATGTATCTTTATTAGCACTGACTTTTCCTAAGAGCAACAACCTCAACCATCTGTAAGCTCTCTACCTCTGCCCTCTGCCCAGTGACACATACTACTAATGAACTGGCTACTTGACACATCAATCACTTGCTGAGCCAGAATGGCTCATAAACCTGATTTTGGTAATTTCAGTGTAAACAACAATGTTTATATTTGGTTTTTATTAAATCAAGCTCGCCAATACCTAATTTCCTATAAAACTGCCAGTCTAGTTTTAATCACACTGTAAGCAGATTTCAGAATCAAGGTTTTGGAAATAATAATATATGCTAGGTTGGAATAAAGAACATGCACACATTAAAAAATAATTAAAAGTCAAAACCAAACCTCCAAATACACACATGCATTGACACTGACTACCACACACAGCAAGTCCTATCCTGGGCAATGAAAAGTCTGATTTTTTTTTTTTCTTAAGTGCCAAAGGATAATATTTAGTAAAGTTTGCTGACTTTCTACCTAATATGTTCTTGCTCAGTCCACATTATATGGAAAATAAAAAGAAACCAGGGGGAACCCAGAATTACAAAGATGGTTGCCTTACCATTATGTAATATTAAAGCAAATGAAAAGTTTTTGCAATGTCATAAGGGAATAAACTTGCAAAACACTTAAAATGTGTTGCAGTAAACATCATTAAAAATGTTCACAGCACTTCAAAGCCTGTAAACATTTAGTGGGATGAACACAGCTGGAACAGTGACTGCTTAGTGACACTTGGAGACCAGCAGCCACTGAAGGCTAGCTCTGTCCTGTCCAGAACAAAAGCCAGCTGTCTTCAGGCAGGAATTCGGTCTCTCAAATACTCCAGCACAGCAGCTGTGCCTTTCATTAGTATGGCCGCTCGAGGAACTCGGAATGGATTTCCATCTAGCAGTAGTGTTCTAAATGAAAGAAACAAGAAAATCAAACATTTCCCATTAGTGATTCTCTTTTCATGAAATAAAACTATCCTTTGTAATTTTTTAAAGAAAATGTGTATTTTTCCTTATGTGTCCTTTATAAATCCAACAGCTGGAATTATGACAATAGGCAAGAGCAGATGGTGAATGACTAGCACACGAAAGGCACATTATGGAGTTTACATTCATTGACTCCGTTGGTTTTGTCTAAACACACCTTTGGTGTAGGTATCAGTGATGCTTCTATTTAAAGAGAGAAATACAAATCTGGAAAGACAAAGGCCTGTTCAGAATGCTGCCACATGGTGGAGATGTGATTTAAGCTACCATTTAGTCTCCTCTTAATTTTATATGACCACACACTAGATAATAATATACATTTAAGAAAGTGAATGAACAAACTGACAAGGATCCTTGCCAAGAATACTACAGCCACAGCTCACTCCACACTCAAGATGGGCCTTTCCTACCCATTTGCCCTCCCCCCATGGATCAGAGTTCCATTTCCATATTTGGAAATAAGACTCAATTTAGTAGGTAAGGGCTGGGTCTTCTGTGTCTTCAATCAAAAGGATTTAATAACCTAAATTTTTATGTAAATAATATCAAAGGGCTCACGCAGCATTATAAATTTACATTTATAAATTAAATACATATATAAATTATACATTTCTTCAAATATTTCCATGTTACTTGGGAATTCTTTTACATGCTTAACTTTCTCAGCTTCCAGGAAAAAAAAATGCAGTTGATTCTCACTGTGCACATGTTTTGCATCTGCAAATCTACCCACTCCAAATCTGTCTGTAACCCTAATCACTGGACTCCCACTATGCCAAGAACAGAAGAAAACTGAGGTCACTCACAGGTGTGGCTCCATGAAGTCTGATAGAACATCTGCAACCACACTGCCAGGCTCCTTCCTGGGCCAACTCAGTGCTTTCAGTTTACAAGTTCTTGTATGTTTGTTTATAATTTCACTGTTCAAAGTGGTTCCAAATAGCCAGGGGTGATAGACAGTCAATACTCCAGCATTTAGGAGCCTAAGGCAGGCAGATATGGAACTAGAGTCTAGCCTGAGCTATATAGCAAGACTCTTCTGTTTCAAAAAATAAAAATAAGATAATAAAATAGCCTTCACAGGTAGTTCTAAAATGCTGTTTAGTTTTCTTGTACAAATGTGCCTCTTGAGAAACATGCTAAGTTTCTTTCTGGCATAAATTATTGTGGCATGTTCATGAGGAAGCAATGAGTTAAATAAACTGTTATGTACTGATGGGATGATAAACCCAAACCTTGTATTTACTGCAACAGTTCAGATCTCTAACTTAGTTCATAACTTCAGCACTGAGATTTGTTTCCTACAATTCACTAGAGATGGGATAGGAGGGTTACCCCCCTGAGGTAAACAGCCAAAAAATTACACGCTGCCTTCAAGAGTAGAGCAGTTTTCAGCTGACATCTCAGCACCCCCCACCCCACCCTTCTACTTGCTTAACCAGCACTGAATTAGGTGATTAGGATGACTAAAGTTTTAGCCAACTCATTTCTGGATTTAAAAAAAAAAAAAAAAAAAAAGGAACAGATGAGCTCAAAAGAAAAGTGGAGATAATAGAATAATTTTGTGTGGAGGAGGCTTCAAAAGGGAGACCAAGCATGATCTGGTCACTACTGAGAGCACGGTAAGGGCTGAGGGAAAAGCAAGTGAGGAAAGACCATAGGGGCTGGGTTTCTGAAACTGGGCAGCCTATAATCAGACCTCAGAAATCCTGTACAAAGGTAAGGAGGATCACTCTTACTTGTTGCTCTCTGCCCCAGTGCAATTCTGGATGGAAAGCATATACTAGGAAAAACTATTTTAAGAAACAGTGTATTCATACATATATAATGTTATATAAAGCCAGAAAATATTTGGTGAAATTTAAAGAAAAATTAGGTGTATGGTTAGCTATTATTGTTATAAGGTATTAAGCCTGTTATTTCAATTTCCTGAAAGCAATCAACAAATCAATTGGATGCCCCCCCACCCCCCCGAAAGGGAGTTACCGTAGCTGCACACAGTTCCCAAGCTCTGGGGGAATCTGCAAGAGGTCGTTGTTTTGAAGGTCCAGAGTACTCAGGTTTTCCATCAGCTTCACCTTCTGAGGGTCCACAGAACCAACTTGATTGTTGCTGATCAGAACTGCTTCCAATGTGGGGATGTCATACAGAGCTGCAGGCATCACTTTGAACCTATTAAGATGTGAACAGGAGCCAGGTGGTGGTGGAGGTGCAAAATAATCCCAGCACTCAAGGAGGCAGAGGTAGGCAGATCTCTAAGTTTGAGGCCAGCCTAGTCTACAGAGTGAGTTCCAGGACAGCCAGGGCTACAAAAAGAAACTGTCGCAAAACAAACAAACAAACAAACAAACAACAAGGCAAGCAAGCAAGCAAACAAACAAAAATATATGAACAGGATACTTCTTTGTTATGGGCTGGAGGTCAAATCATTCTTAAAAATAGATGATCTTAAGTGTGGTTTAAGTCCTATATTCAGATTTTCCAGAAAATAAGAAAGTAATTTCGGAATGCATATTTAGCAAATATACAAGGTACCATTGACTGTGAAAATAAAAAACAAACAAAAGCTGAGAAAAAGTCCCCACTGATGGGTGTGACATATCTCTGAGTTTCTACAGGCTGCCCCCAGGAGGATACTCTTTCTTGATTTACTTTTATTTATGATTAATAACTTTCAATTAAGTAAAATGTGGGGGTTTTGTTTGTTTGTTTGTTTGTAACTTTGTTTGCCTGAGCCTACCAGAACAAGGGTATTCTGAGTTCTTTAAAAGATGATCAACTGTTACAGATGCAGGCTCATTATCCAAATGAAACCATCAGATGCCAGAGACAAGTGTGCCTGGCTAACACCTATCTTACTTCAAGGCAACAATTTCACTACAAGTACAATTAGTCATATGATTATCTTTCTTCAAAACTATCAGTTTCCTGGAGTGGTAAAACAAACAAACAAACACAGTTCAGCTAAGCATCAATCAGAGAATTCTAAGAAACACTATGTTCAATAGAATCTGAATGAGAATAAAATTTGCTAGTGAAAATAGAGGCTTCTTATTTATCTGGCTCCTTACCTGTTAAAGGAAAGATTGATCGTTTGTAGTTTTGTCAGCGATGACATCTCTTCAGGTAAAGAACTTAAAAAATTATTCCTAAATTAAAAATCAAAACATGATTTTTAAAGTTTGAAAACTTTCACAAGTTTAAATCCTAGGAGGAATAAAAAACACACAGGTGTGTTTGTCAATTCTAATTAACTCAATCATCTTAGGATGGCCCTAAGATGGGGGCTTGGGGTATGACAGCAGTCTCCTGAAGCCTTTCTCTCCTATCCACAGTTACTGTCTGTACAAGCTATGCTACATAGCCCACAGCTGCCCTACTCTTTTCCTCCAGTCTTTTTGTTGTCAGACATGAAAACAGATTTAGTCCTTCTATGGACTTCAGGGACACAAAAGCCTGCAACAGAAAGAAAGAGACAGCAGCTGTGGGGACCCCCATTCCTTCTGTTCCATGAGCTTTATACTCTGCTACCCCAGAGAAGAAAAAGCTTCATACTTAGTGCAGCCAGAACCTCCTGACTCAACTATATGCTATGTCAACTAAAAGTATTCCTGCTAACAAGCAGAAAACACTAAGAAAAGCGCAGGCACCAGAAACACAGTTTACAGCAAGTATAATTTAAGGCCCAAAGACAGATGCTATATGACCATGAGAAACATGGGGTCACCACATGAGCTGTCAGCTTCCCACTGAACTCATTAAAATCAAGTTTTCTATGATTCCCAAAAAGTATGAGGTAAGTTCTATCTTTTTGCTTCACTATGGGCTCTTCTGCTTGACCTGCCTATTTAATGTCCTGGGCTGGGAAGCAAGCCTGCTCCTCAAAGGCCTGGTGCAACTGTAGAGAAGCAAAGGGGATGGCTGGAAGATGAAAGAGACAGCTTCCATGTACTGATTGTCATTACTTAGGCATAGTCTAGTCTATAGAATTATGTTGTAAATATTTTAGATAATTTTATCTCATCGCTTAAGTTATAAAGTACTTATAATGACAGACTGGTTAAAATACCTAAATATTTAATTTTACATTTCCCCTAACATAGTTAATAACTAAAGACCAGATTCCATACCCAACAATGAAAACAAAACAAAAACTCAAAGATGAATCATAACTTTTGAGGTGTGGAGGAACAGTATTATCAAGTACCTTAAATCTAAAAATGTCAATTTCTGAAGCAAGCATAATTCCTGGGATATAAAGGAAAGCTTGTTAAAACTGAGGTTGACATCCGATACCATTTCCTTCAGCTCAATAATCCTGAAACAAAACAATTTTAAATGTCAGAAACTAACTCAAAACTGAAACACTCACAGGAGAAACAACATCCCTTGTGCTCTCTAGGCCTCATTTTCCTCACAAAACAAACCTTCAGAGACTGGCTGTGCAATAAAACTAAAAAATTTAAAAACAGTCTTACTGTGATCTGTCCAAGGCTTCAATATGACAGTAAAAATATAATGAAGTTTAATTTAAAAACTTATTGATTATATATTTAACTTAATTATGGCACAAAAGAGAAAAATCAGATCTGGATGGCTGCTATACTATGTTTTGGCAATGAACTGAAATTATAGAACTTATCGTTAGATACTGATAATAGCATTTTAAACACCACAATATGCTACATATATGCAAGTACTTAAAGATATTTTTAAGGGATTGAGGAGATGGCTCAGACATTAAGAGTACTGGCTATTTTTCTAGAGGTACCAATTTTGACTCCCAGTACCCATGTGGTGGCTCACAACTATCTGTAACTTTATTTCAGAGGATCCTCTGCAGGCACCAGACACTCAAGTGATTCACAGACATGCAAGCAGACAAAACAAACACCACACACATAAAATAATATTTTAATTTGACATACCCACTTTTTCGTTTAATTTTTATGTCTTTAATATTTATTTATTTAATATATGAGTGCTCTATCTCCATGTACACCCGCAGGCCAGAAGAGGGCATCAGATCTCATTATGGCTCTGAGCCACCATGTGGTTGTTAGAAATTGATCTCAGGCCTTCAGGAAGAGCAGCCAGGGCTCCAAACCGCTGAGCCTTCTCTCTAGCCCATACCCACTTTTTAATGATTTTGTTATGTCAACTATTATTAAATACAACTGAAGTTAAAACAAGATATGAAGCCAGTTTCTAGGTTTGGCAAGTGCTACCCTTAAGCAACATACGTTGAAGAGGAAGAATTAAACATCTCAAAGCAATATGCCTAAACACGTTTAGTCGTTTTAATTATATGACTGATATAACCTGCCAAATAACATTAAACATTTACAAACATTCTGTAGTCCACCACATTAGCAAAGTGAAGAACACAGAAGACCGTAACAGCTGGTGCTGAAGATGCAGGGAGAAAGTGAACCTCAATGTGTAACTGACAATCTATAAAGAAGATTATTGAATATATATGCATCAAGGGTCATATCTCTCAACACAGTTATTTTTCTGGAAATTTGGCCTAAACAGTATGGTTTTTTTTTTTTTTTTTTAATTGCTCTAAGTAAGTACCCTAGCACACAGGTAGGTTGGATCTTAAAAATATTACTTATGAATTAGGGAAATAAAAATCAAATATACATATGGTATTACACATAAAACTCCAAATAGCTTAAATAAAACAACACTAAGCTAACATCTGTATCAGTGATAAGACTGTATGCAATGTTGTTCCGTTTCCTCCAGTATTTTATGAATATTCATTATGAATTATAAATTTTAGATGTAAAAAAGGGAGAGTGTATTAGAAGCACTCTAGAGCAAGGCAATTTATGCTACCTAGCTTTCTAAGTTACTTTAAAAAAAACTCAAGCACCCTGGTAAGAGAATAGCATACTGCCTAAGAACTACACTGTGGTATAAAACAGGAAGTAAATCCTAGGTGAGTACAGTGAAGCCAGTAGCATCTCCTGCAGCTCTCCACCTTTATTCCATTAGCCAATGCGACCCAGGTCTGCCCAAACACACCATGTGTATCTGAGAGCAAATCAGACATCTTTCCAGCCCTTCAACAAAAGGAACCAAAGGAACCAAAGGATGGACAGGTCTCCTTTTGTAATGGGGTAGCTTGCTTCAAGACCTACGTCCCAAGTGTTCCCTGTAAATATGACACATTTTATAGTTTGCCCTTTTAAACATCTGAAAATCTGGGCAGTTCTATGAAAGCAACCTTTTTATTTTGGATACATCAGCCTTCACTGCATCATCTGTTCCCTTGTGTTTTATCTTTTTCTGTCTGTTTTCTTTAGGTGCCCATGTGTCTACTAAGGCAGTATGATGTCACTGTACTTCACAGGCAAGGACACTAAGAGCAGCTAGTCACAGCTGCACTGCTGTGACTCCTCATCAGGCCTATCCTGTCTTGCACACTGTAGTGAGAGGTCATTCATCAGCATTGTTTGGATGTAGACAGTAACTAACTTACAATCTAATTTTCTCGTATAACCTAAAGCCTTTGCTAATTAATGCAAACAATGGCATACTGAACATAAGTACAACAAATTAGCAATTAATGGCTAGAGTGAAGGATCCTCTACCTATAAAAAAAACACTGGCAGCTCATGTATTTGGCTTTAGGTCCAGGTGAGAAAAATCAGTAATTAAGTTTCCCTAGCCTGAGCCTACATGAAAAAACACTCTTAGCCCTCTGGGCAGGGTACTGGATGGTATCTCAAGACTCTCCCTTTCATGCTTCATACAAGACTAATACTTTTACAGTTAATGATTCTAACATCCTTTTCCCAAGTTTACATCATACAGCTGGGAGTTTTAAGATCCTGTACATCTCTCAGAGCAGACCACAGTCTGAAGCACCCCTCTAACATTAACAGTTCAGGAAACTAACACTCACTCACTTTCCGAGATGCAGAGTACTAAAACAAGGCCAACCTGAATGGTGTGCATCATTGGAAGATCCTACCTTTTCGGAATCTCACACAGGTGATTCTTACTGAAGTTGACAGAAGTGATGATGTTGCTTTTTGTGGCATCAAATATGTCATCAGGAATCAAGGTTGCTTGTTTATCACTAAATAAAAAGTGGTTAAAAAAATAAAACATTCTTAACAATCCCAAAAGATATAATCACTGTTTCTAAAGGCCTTCACAGATTTTACCAAGGTAAATGATGAAGTTCTGTGAGCTCAGCTCAGTCACATAAACAGAAATAAAGGCACACTGAAAACCCAGAAACTCTCAGAATGCATACTCTGTTTCTCTACCTATGACTGGAGCTACATCCCATTTTAAAACTAAGCTTTCCTTAGAAATCTGTGAGACTGAAAGACAGGATGCAACACTGTACTCATTTAGCTCCGTACAATCACCTATGTGCCTTCTCAGTCCTCTATTGTGTGGCAGCAGACATAGCAGGAGACAGGCTGAAATCATTACCCATGCTGTCACTCTGATAAGCTTTGCAGCTTGTCCTTGCTTTGGGATTAGAATCTGAATAGCAGCATTTAATGTTTATGCCATCGCTTTTGCAAATATAAATACATATAATAATGCTATGACTAGAGGAATACGAAACAGGTACAGGGGATTCAACCTCTGTCAGTGTGGCTTAGTAGCTGCTACACACATTAAAGGGTGGCAACAGGAAGTGAGAACAATGTGAACGGAGATCCTCACTGCTGAGAGGGTTCTTACTAACGCTTTATGGATGAGGAAGCACATGACAGTAGATACATTCTTTACAGAATAGTTATCCGCCTGGAGTCTACATTCCTTCGTCTCTCCATTCTAACACCATACAGGAATGCGTATGAGCAAAAGTGTTGGGAGCATTGCTCATCCTTACTGCTGCTGTTCCACACACCAGCATAGAAGCCCCTGACAGGGTTATCCAGCTTCTTTCACTAATCTGACAAATGCCCACTGTGCACAGGAACTTCAGTGCTTTTCCTTCCTCTGCACACATTGTCAGTGCTTCAGTGTTACTGTGTTCCCAGAATGCAACTATGAAACATCTCAGCCCATTCACAGACATGAGGCAGTCACTGCTTGTTACTCAAGCTCTTCTTTAACTAAGTGATAGCTTATTTAACAGACTCAACCTCAGACATAAAATTTTCTCTAAATGTTGGTTAGTGAATTTGAGAACTTGAACACCAAACTGCTGCTCATCTTCTTGTAATAAAATCTTATCATAAAAGTGCTAACATCAATTCATTTGTCTCTCATATTTTGCAATTGATACTGCTTTGAGTCAAATATTCTTGACTAGGTAGGAAGAAAAAGAATGAAAGGACCTCTGCAACCACCTGCCTCCCAGACATTACACTAAAGCTCACCCCATTCCCAATGAGGGAACAAAAGGATGAAGGGATGGCTTGGTGGTTAAGGACACTGGCTGCTCTTTCAGAGGACCCAGGTTTGATTCCCAGCACCCACATGGTGGCTAACAACCTTCTATATATACCTCCAGTTCCAGGATATCTCACATCGACTCTGGCCTCCTCAGGTACTTGGCACTTATATGGTACATAGACATATATGGAGGTAGAATCACAATAAAACAGATTCTAAAATTTAAGAGAAAAAAAAAAAAAGGCCAAGAGCACAAGATCTTTCTCCTTAGTGTACCCTTCCCCTAACTCTTAATTTCACTGCATTATATCCTCCTTCCCACAATACCACTCCACGGATACTCAGGTACTCTACCTCTCTGACTCAATTCTCTTTTGAGTCCAATTCTAAACTCTTCTGTGACCTGAGAAACATGCAAAGGGGAATCTGTTCCCATGACTCTTTTCCTTACTAGCTGTCCTTTCTCTAAAAGACTGTTTCTCAAAACTTCCCCATGGGCCTTGGAATATTGTGCAGATAAGACTGCATATCTACAGTGAGCAGCTTCAGTGTGCCCAGCATGGACACTGACTACATCTTCAGTGCTATGCAGGACAGTGTGACGGTTTGAATGAGAATGGTCTCCACAGAGTCATGTACGTGAATGCAGTTGGTGGAACTGCTTGGGAAAGATTAGAAGCCCACACCATTCCATTTAGCTCTGTCTCTTTTTCTGCCTCATGCTGCTCCAGCACTATGCCTGTCTGCCTACTGCCATCTGCCATGATGGTCATGGACTCTAACCCTTACAACCATGAATGTAACTGAAAACCTGAAATTAAATGCTGTTTTATAAACAGCCTTGGTCGTGATTTTTTGTCACAGCAATAGAACAGTAACTAGGACAGACTGTATACCTATAGTCTAGCAGCTTTAGTGTGACGATGGCCTGGATATTGACTCTAGATTCACTTGGTAGTGTCATGGCAGTCTTAGGAATAGAATCATTTTGACTGGTTCCATCATCTGAAAAGAGAAATTATATAGCGTGAATATTAATATTATACAGCCATCTTTAAATTGTTAATGATATACATAAAAGTGTTTAGATTTCATAGTCATACACTTTATTCCCAAGAGCTGAGACCTCATTTAGGAAACATATTAAAAGAAAATAAAGTTTTTCAGTGTGGCTTCAAATACTGACTACCCAACCCACTCAAAGTCATCCCACTGTAGGATAATTTAGCATTATGAAAGAATTTTCATAAATAACTACAGTAGCTAACAATAAACCTTTCTCTTCTGGAAAATAATATGGCCTTGTGGAAGGACCCTGCCAACACCAGAAAAATACTGTATCCCTTAAATGTCTAACAAATAATGTACCTATACTTTCACTTAGGATACAATAAAGCTAATAATTTTCAGTCACTTAAAATCTAGCAGTCTGTATAATGAAGCTTTTGGATATTATAGGCAAATGCCAAGACTTTACAACAGAAGTTTTCCTGACATGCACATGTACTCACACATCCAAACCACCTACTAAAGAGAAACCAACACGGATCTGAGAGCAGCAGCAAGAACTACGTATATAAAGAAATGTTAAGACTTCAAAACCCTGAAGCAGCCAAAAGTGAACTATCAGATTTCAATAATGGGAGGGGACAGGACAGCCCAAGAGTAAAAAAAGGCAAAACAAAGCAAAGCACTTGGGAGGTGGGAGGACTGCAATCCCAGTGCTTCCCAGAGCCCTAGGCATCTTCAGCGACATAAAGAACTGGAGGTCTACCTATGCAAAAAGACGCCATTTCAAACAACAAAACTGCTAAGGCAGGTAGTGCAGATGTTTAATCACCCCAGAGATGGAGGCAGGTGTCTCTCTGTGGGTTCCAGTCAGCTTGTGCTACATAGTGAAATCCAGTGTCAAAAACAAACAAATCAACATAAAAAACACACAATGGACCAAAGAATTAGAAGTGTTACTGACCTGTGTCAACCCAGAGGTATCCTACGAACAGCTGAGGAATATGCTAGATGAGCAAGTGCATTTCTCTTGCACTTAGTACACTTGTTAATCAAGGGTCAACATGCATGTACATTACTGTGAATCAACATTATCTACTTTGAGAAAATAGCTAAACAATTTTTCCCTATGCAACACAACATGAATGCTTTACTCATAAAAATAGAACAAAAGACAGTATCAACAGAAATAAAAGACACCAAGCAAAGCATTAGTATTGATTAAGTGATTTGTTATTTAGAACTTCCCTAACAGTTTGGTAATATTCCTTTATAACTCAATTTTTTTTTTTATTTTTTATTTTTATGTGAATGCAGTTCCCTCAGAGTCTAGAATAGGGTGTCAGATTTCCCAGGGCTAGCATTATACACAGTTGTGAGGTACCATGTGAGTGCTAAAAACTGAATCCTGGTCCTCTGAATGAGCAGCCACTATTCTTAACCGCTGAGCTATCTTTCCAGCCCCTAGTCATACTACTATAAAAATATATGTAAAAATTATATAAGGAAAGACATAATATTAAATCATTAAGAGAATGTGACATCCATTCTAATATACCATGCTGAGCAAATATATCAAGTTAAGACACTCTCCATTTCCAAAAAGTTAACTTAAGTCAGGGTCAGAGAGCCTTAAAGCGTGTGAAAACACATTCACTTTCACTATATATCTAATACATTCACTTTCCCTTTATATTTTCGTATACTGTTTTTTTTTTTAAAAAACCTCTATGCTGAGAAAAAATTTTTAAAATTTCAAATCAAAAGACCTACTAGAACCAGGCCTGGTTGGCACATGCCTGTAATCCAAGCACTGTGGGAGGTAGAGGCAGGTAGACCTCTGTGAGTTCGAGGCCGAACTGGTCTACAAAAAAGTCTAGGACAGCCAGACCTACACAGAGAAACCCTGCCTCAAAAAACAAACAAACAGAGGCGGGGCAAGATGGCGTCGCCTGGAGGACTCTCATTCTGAGGAGCAGCACAGCAGGATTGGCACAGTGACCAGCAATCAGAACTCGCAGCCATAAAACACAAGTGATTGTGTTTCACAGGTGAGAGGATACCCCACAGTGGGGGATTCAATCAGCTTTAACTCACCCTGCTAAACCTCGGAAGAGATCCCGGTTCCGTCAGGCGATTGGTCGCCAGCCCAGAGCTACCCGCCAGCGTGATCTGGTCACAGTCCCAGACTGAACTGTGGGCCCACAACATCATAGACTGGATTTCCCAATCGAGAGATAACCTCACAGAGCAGGAAACAATTGGGACCGACCTCAGGTTACCCAGACATCCCCTGGAAAAGACTCGGGTTCCGCGGGTGCCCCAAGAGCCAGCACCGACCCAGAGCCAGGACCCAGGCTCCTGCACGGAGCCCTGCCTGCGCACCTGATTCGCCGCCTCAGATAGAACTGTGGGCACCAGGGCAGCAGGGCACCAGACTGCGTGTCTCTGGCAGGAGGAAACCCCCGGAAGGGGGGGGGGGTCAGCAGCTCTAACGCTTAGGACACCTAGCACCAAAACACTTCCTGGACTCACGCAGACTCTAGTGCAGGCAGGAGCACTGTGCTCTGTCACAATTATTGAATTCCCCTAGGGCACTGGGGCACACAGCTGCATCCGCAGACCTACAAAAGCCAGAGAGCCATTAAAGCAGCCCTCAGATACTGTGCCAAGGATCAACAACTTATCCCTAGCTAGACTGTGAAAACCGTGGGAATCCCTGGTCCTCCAAGAGGGCTGCACCCACAGCGTCCAGACCAGAGCAGTGCCTACAGCTGACATCCCAGACAGGGACAAACAGCTTCTGGTCCAGAGTGAGGCACCCAGCCTCCAGACCAGAGCAGTGCCCCCGGCACCAACTCAACCTAGGTGCACATTCTCCAGGCCCAGAGTGGAGCACTCAGCCTCTGGCCCAGAGACTTGCTGGGCGCACCTCTCAGAACTGTGTACCCCAGGATAACAGACTGAGTTTCCCTGTTGGGAGAAAACCCCACAGCTAGGGAATCAGCAGGTTCTTCAAGAGGACTGTACCTGGAAATTTAGTGAGCAGCAGCACACTAAATTTGTAACAAGTAACCCAGCAGTGGGGCAGCTGTCTTGAGAAATTCTATGGGTAAGAGGAGATCCCCGCCTGCCTAACATAGACCACGGCTACTACTCAGGGCTATAAACCTGAGGTGAGCAGTGGCAACTCCTGAGAAACACTGGCCATACAGTGACTATAACCAAAAAGCAGAGAAGGACTCCTTCAGGAAAAATCATCTTCCAGCCAAGGGGATACTCCCTACCTCAGGACTCCAGGAAGCACAGAAACTAACAGCCAACACCTAAATCAATACAATGAGTAGAGGTCAGCGTAAAAGCTCAACCAACAAAAGACAGAGCAATATGGCATCTCCAGAACCCAGCTGTCCAGGGGCGAACAGCCCTGAACAATGCAGCATAATAGAAAATCAAGAAGATGACCTTACATCTATGTTGATGAAGAGGATAATAGAGGAAACAAATAAAATACGTAAAGAATTAGAGGAAGATAAAACCAAAGAGATCATGGCTATCCGTAAAGAAATGGAGGAAGATAAAGAAAAACAGATTAGGGCCATCCGTGAAGAAATAGGGGAAGATGCAGCCAAACAGATTGTGGCCTTCAGAGAAGAAATAATTAAATCACTGAAAGAAATCAAAGAGACAGAGTTGAAGGAACTAAAAGAAAAAGAGGAAAATACAAGCAGACAGATGAAGGAAGTAAACAAAACAACTCAAGACCTGAAGATAGAACTAGAAAAATTAAAGAAAACACAAACGGAGGAAATAATGGAGAGGAAGAATTTAGGGAAGAAAACAGGAACTACAGAGGTAAGCATAACCAACAGAATACAAGAAATGGAAGAAAGAATCTCAGGTGTAGAAGATACAATGGAAGAAATCGATGTATCTGTCTAAGAAAATGTTAAATCCAAAAAATTCCTGACACAGACCGTCCAAGAAATCCAAGACAATATGAAAAGACAAAACCTAAGAATAATAGGAATAGAGGAAAAAGAAGACTCCCTTCTCCAAGACCCAGAAAATATTTTCAACAAAATCATTGAAGAAAATTTCCCCAAGTTAAAGGAAAAGCCAATAAGGATACATGAGGTCTACAGAACACCCAACAAATCTGACCAGAAAAGAAAATCCTCCCGCCACATAATAATCAAAACAGTAAGTATACAGAACGAAGAAAAAATACTAAAAGCTGCAAGGGAAAAAGGCCAAGTAACATATAACGGCAAACCCATTAGAATCACACCTGACTTTTCAACAGAAACTATGAAAGCCAGAAGGGCCTGGACAGATATCATGCAGACCCTAAGAGAACACAGATGTCAACCCAGGCTACTATACCCTGCAAAACTCTCAGTCCTCATAGACGGAGAAAACAAGATATTCAATGACAAAACGAATTTCAACAATACCTACACACAAATCCAGCATTACAGAAGACACTGGAAGGGAAAATACAACCCAAGAAAATTAGCTTCTGTCAAGAAAACACAGGAAATAATTAACCTTACTACAGCAAAACAAAAAGCAACCAAGCACACAACCTTATGAACACAGCCAACATCAAAATCATAGGATCTAACAGCCACTGGTCATTAATCTCTCTCAATATCAATGGACTCAACTCTCCAGTAAAAAGACACAGATTAACAGAATGGATACGTAAAAAAAACCCAGCAATCTGTTGCATACAAGAAACACACCTAAGACACAAAGATAGACATTACCTGAAGGTAAAAGGTTGGAAGACGACTTTCCAAGCAAATGGACCCAAGAAACAAGCAGGAGTAGCCTGCTTCTAATATCTGATAAAATAGACTTTCAACCAAAATTAATAAAAAGAGATGAGGAAGGACACACCATACTCATCAAGGGAAAATTCCACCATGAAGACATCACAATCCTGAACATCTATGCCCCAAATACAAGAGCACCCACATTTGTAAAAGAAA